ACTTACTTTATTCTTTGCTATGTTTGATAGCATATGTAACACAGCTAAAAATAAAAAAACATTCCTAGCCTAAATGTTAGTCTAGAAAACAGACACCTGGCATAAAGCACTGGTGGGCAGACAAGTCTTAGAAGTCAAACTGGAAAATACTGCTAAATGTCATAATATACTGACATTAAAACTTACACATATAGAGAAAAGAGCAGAGAATGTTTGCCATCTGTAAATAAGAATTTCACCAAACCCTGCGCTGCTTTTACATCACATGGACCATGAACTATGCATAGGTATCATCCACTGCAATGGCTAATGTTTTTATTGTTTCTGGGTGTTGAATAGACCCCATATTTTTCCTACATACCCTGAAAGCACATATGCACTAGCAGATGAACCAGCACTGCAAGTATTACTGGTATCCTGCAGTACATGATGATCAAGGGATCTGGGAGATAGCCTCTCTAACAATGTCACCTCAAGATCTAATCTTTATCCCAATTCCATTGGGATAATGCAGCAAATGTGTCTGGACAACAGAACTGCCAGTCATAGATTAGGTCAACAGCAACCACAGAAGAAGCCATCAAGTAATTTTCGCACGTATACCAAAAGCCACAAGTAGTCCCTAGCAGATATTCTTCCTACATGAAGAAATTTTTCATAATCTATTACAGGTAATATATAATTTGTAAATAATAAAGCAATTAAATACTATAACAGCAACTTAAGAACGTATCTAATTGTACTACTTTCTGAAATATAATTAACTAAAATGAAAAATCTAATGAAGCAAATTCAGTAAACACTGTATAGCAAATGCTTGTGAGAATCGAATGTAACTGCAGACCAAATAATGAAATTTTAAGCTGCTCAACACAGCAGAATTATTTACACCTAAATGCAGATATACCATCTCAAAAAAAAACCCAACAGATCGACTATAAGGTTTTCTAGAAAGTCATCAATTGTTCAATGCATATCTGAAACCTTACGGTAAAATCTCATCTACAACAAGCAATCAGTAACAGAAGATTTGTAAAGCCTTTAATACTGTAATGTCCCAAAAGGCAAAACCAGTCTCACTCCACCCATACTTCACCTGCTACTTTTATGAGCTAACCTTCCCCCATTCGATAACAGTAGAGTCACCACCAGTCAAAACCCAGAGAATTTGCCTCCTGAGTCCTGTTCCATCTGAGATAATTCATGCTACAACAGAAATCTTTATTCCCTAATGTATTTTAAAACTATGTCCCATCCTCAGAAGTGTTCAAGGCCAGGCTGGACAGGGCTTTGAGTAACCTGGTCTGGTGGAAGGTGACCCTGCCCATGGCAGGGCTGTTGGAATGATACGATCTTTAAGGTCCTTTCCAACCCAAACCACCCCCTGATTCTCTGGTTCTGTGAAGTAGAATACACACAACACTGTCAGTTACAGCTAAAGGTCTGTGTAAGGAAAATGTCTCTGACAGTTCTCTAAACAGTCTATTATCACTTTGTCACAACCACTAGAGACCGGTGCAAAAAAACAATGTAAAAAAGCTTTCAGGAATTCCAAAAATTATAATAAAATAACCTGCAAGTTAGAAAAGAGTTTATAAAGGAAAGAGGAGGGGCTATGCAAAAATATTTTCCCCTCTTCTTAAGAAGGATACTGTTCAATTGGAACATGCAGTAGACAAACAGCCCTGCTCATTCACCTCTAAGCCAAATGGATGCACCTAATGTCTTAGTACAAACATCACATGAGGTTTTATCCTAAAAAGTAACTACTGACAATGCAAATAGCAACCAGAAATAATTTGACATTTGAGTCCTGGATTTCAACAAGCAAACATACCAAATGATGCTTTTTGATCTTTTAGTTACATTTAATAAAAGCTCATATGGCCACTAAGGTGCTAAGATCTCTTTCGGACAACAAATGGAGGAATCGCATAAGGAAGGTTTAATTGCATCCAACTGCTCAGCAATGTCTCTCTCTGATAGCTCCTGCTGTTGGATCAACATCTTCAGCAAAACCATGCTGCAAAGAATCACTTTTTATGTCATCTGACACATACAGGGCTTAGAGCGAATTACACAACAGTTCAACAGAGAGAACAGATTTCTTCAGAAGTACTGAAGAAACAGTTTAAATGTACTAAGCAGTCAGAGTACTGTAACTTAAAAATCTCTTTAAAGGCACCTTAAAGGGTTTTGAAAAAAATGTACAAAACAAGTGGTTACCCCAAAGCTATAATCATTATTTACAACTTCAATAATTAATTTTGCACTGAAAAAGTAGTAACATCTATGGGAAGGAAAAATATATGACAGAATATACACAAACGCTAAGTTGACATGAGAGTAAGTCATCATTCAACAACTCACTTCCTCTTAAAATTTTGAAATTATGCTAGCATGACTTTTTTCAAATTAGACTGTGGCTTTTAAAAACGGTTTTAAATAACCTGCTGGTCTGGCTGCTCCATGAAGTTGGTTTTGTGCTGTTTTATCCTTTCCCAGTTTCCCCTCAAACAGCCGATTTCAGGCAAGTCTGAAGGGCAGAAGCTTTGACTCCATTACAGAAGTTTTGTACAAAGAAGCAGAGAGAGTGCGCATCAGTGTTGCTGCTGAGGAGAGGAGGGCTCAGTCCCTGTGTGAAGTGCCAGGCTTGCCCTTGCACCCTGCCAAACTGCAACTGCAGACCAGTCAAAGAATGTGCAGCTACTTGCTGAAGCAAGAAGGCCAAGCACAAACAGCAAGAGAATATAAGAAAGCTGAGGGCATCACACAGGAAGAGAGGGAGAAGAAAGAAGGGATGGATGTCACAAGAAAATTGCTGGCAATGTCTGGGGAATACTTGCTGCATTCACGGTGGGTTTAATCCACGAAACACAAAACAAATCCATCAGAAACTTATGTAATAGTTCTTTATGTACTGAAATCTTCCAAATCAGGTAATCTGATGTCTTGCTAAAAGCCTATTTACTCTTCTTTGATTTGACTTGCTAACACTTTAAATACACATTGAAGTAAAACACAGACATTCCCAAATCCCCAACTTATTTCCAGGCATGTCATTTCACCAACTGCCAAATTAGGACTTGGGCAATGACCTCTGGGCAAGGAAGTGAACAGATCATTGAAGCATCTTCAACAAAAGCCAGGGAGTGGTGGCTAACTTCAGCAGCTCCAAGCAGGGACAGAAACAAAACACAAGTTACAAAAGTGTTTATACAACTCTGGTGAGCAACGTACAATAAGGAACAAACTAAGAACTTTCATCTCTGCTGAAACTTGATGGAATTTATGCCACTGACTTTCACAGGACTGTAATTCGAAATTTGGCTCCAGGGAAGTTTGACGTCCCCTCCCCCCCTTTAAATCTGGCATCTTAAAATTTATTTTCCAAATGTGTATGGCAACATTTTCCTCAAGTCTTAAGTAAATAACGTACTGAGTTCTGTATTTAAAGACAAGTTACTTAAGGGAAGTGATCAGTTTTTGATAGCTCCATCCCAGACCTCTTTCTTTCTTAGCAGAGTCAGAGCTAACTGTTATAGGTCAATAACCTTTCAGAAGAAGCTTGTAGTGTAACTACCTGCTCCCATGGGAGGAGAAGCATTTTCTGAACTATTTCTTTTTAATATGTGCAATTTAATTAAAGCAACCTGTGACTCTCATGCACATGCTTTGAACTAACTAATAAACAAGAGAATCTTAACAGAAGATGAGTTGGGACAATGTGAAATTTTGGGAGAAATATTGAAAGCTATTAATTTTAAGATAGCAGGCAAGGGTACTTTATTCATATCTTCAGTGAAATGTAGTCTAAATGTATTGTCTCAGGACAATAAATACGACCACCAGCCAAAAGCAACCTTCAAGTAAGCTTATCTCAGATAGCTTTCACACATTATATTACTAGCTAATGCCATATCTTTCCTAGACTGAAGAACTCTTAGACAAATACCATTATCACATGACCTACTTGCATTAATTTAAGCACACACAAAAAAAACCCCATATAGCCTCTTATACTGCAAAACTTTTCTTAAGCTAAGCTTCTACTACTTTACTGATCTTCACACTTCCTAGCTAGACATTGTCTAGTAATACAATCTGTATAATACCCTTGTTTCTGAATGCATTCCAGCATTAGAGAAGCTAAGAAAAGGAAAATTTATCTTTAATTCAGCAAGAGGCCTCTGGGAAGACCACATGCAAAATACACTCCTCAGCTTTAACTCTGCAAGTGTGCAATGGCCATTTTGAGTTGTCTGGGATAGAATAACCTTTCCAACCAATTTCACTTTTTGTGATCTCAAACTCTGTCTTTCCAAGCTGAAAAGCTGCCCCTCTTCTTCCCAGCATGAGTACCATTCATTGTATTATGCTCTAGCTCCTCTAACTTGTTATTTGGAGGACATGAAGGAAGAAGGTGATAAAAACAAAAGGTTGCTCTAATCCATTTAGTACAAATTAAGAACTTCCCTTTACCTGATGCTTTATGGGACATATTCACCTTTCTACTTTTTTTTTACCCTTATCTATTCATCTCTGCCTCACTATCCCTCAATCTTGATGGACTTTGTCCACCTCGGAGGTGATTCAAAGCTGCTCTGAAAACTATGGAAACAAACTAGCAGGGAAGAAACCAAGAGTCAGAAAAGCAGCCTAAGGAAGTCAAAATCAGCATCTTCTAGTTGCCAAATGCCAAACCCAAAACTGCTTCTTGTTGTTGTTTGTTTGGAACAATATTCATAGATTCATAAAATCACAAAATTTTAGGGGTTGGAATGGACTTTACAGATCATCTAGTCCCAATCCCCCTGCCCTGGGCAGGGACACATCCTCATTAGATCAGGATGCTCAAGGCCTCATCCAACCTGGCTTTGAACATTGTCCGGGTTGAGGCATCCATTACTTCCCTGGGCAACCTGTGCCAGTGTCTCAACAACCTTGAGAATAATAAACTTCAATTTGAGTCCACGAGCCTTTGACCTATCACTGCAGTTCCTAACAAAGAGTCCCTCTCCGGCTCCCTTATAGGACCCTTCAGATAGCGGAAAGTTGCTATGCAGTCTCCACACAACCTTTTCTTCTCCAGGCTCAACAGCCTCAACTCCCTCAGCCTGTCTTCACAGGGGAAATGCTCCAGTCCTCTTATCACTTCGTGACCTCCTCTGGACTTGCTCCAGCAGTTCTATGTCCTTATGCTGAGGGCATCAGAAATACTTGGGATGTCAGAACAAGTGCATGATTCTGGATTATGGACACACTTGCTATGTTGGTGCAAGTTTTGCACATTAAACCATCACAGATTCACAGATTAGGGGGACAGAATAAGGCTGAAACATATCCATGCTTGAAAAGACATGTTTGTTCCAGTATTTGGAAGAAAAGTTAACATAGGTATCTCTATTCTTTATGCAATGAAGAGATGAAACTACAATGACAGGTGGTAAAGTAGTTCAGTGTATTAACACATGTGCTGATTTTCAGCACTGGAAGTTGCCATCTGACAAAGGCAAATACTTTTCACTGTTTGGCAACAGATTTGGGACACAACTTATGATGGTTCTTCCCCAAGAAACTCTAAGATAGCCCAATTATATGTCTCCAAAGGAGCTTCTGCTCCAGATGGCCGAAGTGAAATACTTGCTCCAGTCCTAGCACTCACTAGGAAAGTGAATGAACAACTTCATGATACTTATTTTTGGACACTCCAAGAGAAGTCAGCAATACAGCCATGCAGATCAATCTTTCCCTGCCAATGGCTATAAATGTTCCCTCTGGAATGCTCCCAACTCCTGCCAGTGCAGTGATGGAGAAAACACACCCAGACCCACAGACCCTTCTTATGCAGAAGCACCACCATGTTGTGGTGAGCCCTCCACAGCCTAACCTAGTGAAAAAATGCATGTTATGGAGGTAAAGCTTATCTGCACAGCTTCTTTTTATACAAGAGGATCACACGGCAAGAGAAAAATCTCCACCCACCCCTGCTCCAGCACCTATGTTTGTCCCAGGACAATGCAGGGGAATGTGGGCAGCCATCCCATGGTTTTTTAGCATCAACATCACCCATATGACCACCACAGCCAGCAGCATGCTATCAACATACTCTGGGATGGTGTAACACACACAGACCTGCTTCAGCCAAAACACTGTCAAGGGATAGCTGAAGGGCCTGGTTTGGAAAAAAAAAAAAGATGTGCCATCCCCAGCAAGCTGAAGGGACACACACACCTGCAGAATTCATAGTCAAAGGTGCACAAAGGCCCAAAGTATACAAGGTCTAAAGGCACCCAACTGACACGAGTGCTTGTGCCTGACCACTGAAAAATCATGCATACAATCTTAACACAGGCAGATGACAGAGCTATTATGGGCTTGAATTTGTAGTTATTTGGCAACAATGACTATTTAAAAGCTTGAATAGGTAATTTCCCAGGTCATCATTTCCAAAACAGAGTCCCTGGTCTGCTGGAGGCAGACAAAGGCATTAACTGCAGTAAATGTGATTTGATGCTACTCTTACTGTGGTATATATTTAAATACAGTACTAATGCAGTACTTTTGTAAAGTGCAACAGCACCCCTGGCTGTGAGTCACTTTTCAAAGGGACCTGCTGAGTTACAATTTAAGTCATGCACTTTGATGAAATAATCAAGATCCTAGAAGTCAAAAGCCAGTTTAAAGTTTGTTGTGACATCCAGGCTGAAAAGACACATCCTGGACCCAGCTTTAGTTTCTGCCACACTGAAGTGCAAGTAATGTCACAAGAACAACCTAGATGAAGTCAGATGAAGCCACATAGCCTCCTGCAACTCCTGGTTACAGTGCTAAATAAGATGACTACTGAAATGGTCATGATGCAGGCTGGCTGTGCCATCAGCCTTGGGCCACCAGTGTCACTGCCTGGTCTTAAAAAGCATTTCTTGCTCAGAAATACTTCCAATAATTACCCTTACTGCAAGTGCATTATGATCATAAGCCTTGCAGTAATGTTAGCAAACAATAAAACCCTCCAGAAAAAAGGTGGAAGCCTTGCAGGTAACATACAAAAAATTTCTACTTGGAACCCTTTTTTGCTTCATATTCTTCACTGATTTACATTTAACATAGTTTTAAGAGAGGATATTTAAACAGAAAAGTGAAGATCCTACCTTAACACACAAGTTCATTTTTTGCTACCACACAGACAAGTGGATTTTTACAGAGTGATAAAGACAACAGCAGGAAAAGGCTGTTGTGCTAACAATTCACAAGAAAATAGGTACTAAAAAAACCAAGCATGTAAACATAAAAAAAAGTTTCAAATGCTTTATCACAATACTGAAGCACTTTACAGTTCTCTATACTTTGAGCTACAGACAAAGCACTAATAATTAAATATTCCTTCCTCCCCTTTAATAAACCTATCTGTGCATGTTGATTGGTGTTCCAATAAGCTTGGATGAACAATCCTATGTGAAATAAAGAAGAGTTATCACTAAGTACAGCTGCTGCCTATCCAGCAAGAACAAAGGAATATTTACCACCACTGGCAACAGCAGCATCGTAAAACTAAACCCTTAGAATTTCTAACATATTGCAGAACACTGGAAAGTTGTAAAGTCTGTAAAAGCATTTTATTCCTTCTCAGCTCCTAAATGCAAAGATTAGCTGAGAAAGAAGTGGAAGGTGGAAAGGACAGGAAGGAAGGAGTATTAGCTGAACTTAATTTGCAAGCTACTCTGTGTAAATTTCAGAGAAAGGGCTTCGAAGGACTGGGATTTTATTTTTTTGGCATGAGAAAGTCTGAACAATGACTGAAATTCATGATTATTTTTTTTTTTGCAAGTGACAAATGGACTCCTCACTTCAAAATGCTATTTTTATTACAACTGTTTTAGAGACCAGCAGGTAAGACAACAAAAACAGAAAGAGCAACTTTAAAAAGGGTCTGCCAAATAGTGCAGGCATAAAGTCATTACACAGTTAGAGCAAGAAAGGTTTCACAGGGTTATCAATAAAGCAGTCTCTTCTGGTGACACATAAAATACTTGTTTTATGAGTTATCCTCTGAAACAACTTGTCTGAGTGCACTCTGATAATGCAGCTGAGCCAATCTATTAGCTGGCAAAAAGATGTCAAATGGGATCAGCAGCCTACCTCTCACTTATGAGCTCCCAAAGACACTTTGCTTTTACCTGGGCTCTGCTGCTTACTGGACTACATGATAATGCTGACTGCACTCACTCATGTGGCAGAAAGTTAACCTACCAAGTCTCCTGTCAGCTGAAGCTGAACTGGTGTATTAAACAGCAGACTCTGAACATCAGGGTATCTGTAGCACACAAGAGTAGGGCTGGGGCTGCCGTTTTTGGCAGCAGCCTAACTTAAGTTCTGTCCTTTTTATCTTTATTGTGCCATTACTTTCCCCAGACTTCTCTTGGTTCTGTCTCTCTTTTTCCTACCAGGGAGATATGCAAGTGTTGCCACAATACATACTGAATAACTAATGGGAAAAAAAAATTAGTGAAAGCAGGCAAGTCTTCAGGAACGTGTTTTGGTGTTTCTTCCCCCCCCTCCCACCCCAACTGCAGAGTTCAAACAAGCCAGTCAACCACCGAGTTTCACACTACTTAGAACCTACTAACTTTAAATATACTTTAACTGGTTAGAAACATATTCTGCCAAGACTTGAACATGATCTCCAAAGCCTTTTGAAAATATTAAACCTTGCCTAAGTGACTTAAGTCCATAAGTAAGGCAAAAGGTTCCCCATTGCTGTGTTAAGGTGAGATCCAAATATAGTCTCTTTAGCACTGGAACTCCTAAGGAGCCCAGGGAATACCTTGACCGTTAGTTACTCACAACCAGCCAACACACTGCTCTTCATTTCTAAGACTATTCATTTTGCTGCTCATTTTCAGGACTCCACTGTAAGAAAATCTGGCTGTTCCCCATCCTCTGTCAAAACCTCTAGCTTCTCTAATATTTCCATGACATAGCTACGTGTCAGGTATTAGAAGTCAGTCAAATTAGTGTTCAAAATTAATGACTAAAAGGCCGCAAAAGTTATCAGAGTAAGGTGAATTAGAAAGACTGCTGTACACAATATATTAAAACTGCAAAGAGTTTAAAGTCAATCACTAGACCACATTTTTCCTCCCTCTATAAACTCTTTACTAAAAGCCAATTAAATAGACCACAGAATTATTTGTGTCTAGATCACAGACACAAATCACACAGATCACAGAAGCAGTAGTTCATTTTCTACAGTCAACCTTTAGAGCTACTTTAAGCCATCAAAATGCTTTTCTGGGTTGAGATCTCACACCTATTTTTAATTTTTAAACTAAATGGCAAAATTACCTGGATTGGTTTTTTTAGTTTTTTTTTTCTGTAACCAGATTTCCCTCCCTATATTGAAAAAGTCTTTACCTTAGTGTAATTGACACTGAAATCTCAAAACATTGAAAAAGTCTCTACCCTAGTGTAATTGACACTGAAATCTCAAAACACATAGAAATCACAGGAGACATTGACATAACATTTGTATTTCTGTAAGAAGTGTTACCTAACCATTTACAACAAAATTCAGTCCCTGGGAATTACATCTGAGATATCTGGAAACCTTTACAGCTTAACTACAGAATAAAACTGAGGCAGGTGGTATAGGTTTCAACAAACACACATACATACCTATACTGGAGGTATAATCGGTGGCTCCAAAGATCAACTCTGGTGCCCTGTAGTACCGAGAGCAGATGTACGAGACATTAGGTTCTCCACGAACCAGCTGTTTTGCACTGAAAAGGAAACAATAACATCTCAGTAATGAACGTTTTTACAATAGTGCTGTGCAGACCAACATTAAGCTTTGGTAGTCTTCACCCATTCCCAATTCCTAAATGCTGAAGTACCGTGTTCTTCTAAGCTGATGCAAACCACCAACTCAGTGATCTACTGTGAAACCAGTCCAATCTATCAAGCATCTACCTTATACTGGACATAGCTAAGCAAATTCTGACTATAATCTAGGTGATAAATACAGATTTTTGGCTGTCAGTTGTCGTCTGTGAGATACAAAGGTTTGTTCATAAAGAAAAAGAGAACAGAAAACAGTTCAATCAAATGTAGTTACCTTCTAACTTCAAAACCTCTGGATACTCACCAGAACTGAAAGAGGGATTTCTGTTTGTTTGCTTTGCTTTGGGTTGTTTGTGTTTCTGTTAGTCGACTTGTTTTTGGTTTGGATGGGTTTTAATTTCCATCACAATATTCTGTCTCTTTGCTATTTAAGGGAGTGTACTATGAGGTAAAAGGGACACAAGGAGACAAAGGAAGAAAACCCTTTGCCATTGTATTCTCATGTTTAACATGAAGGCTTCATTTATACAGCAAGAAATCACCCACAAAAGATCTAACCTACAGTGTTGCCTCAACCACTAACTTTGAAAGAATCCAAGAAAAGAATGGACTACGAGGGCACATTACTTTAGGAACATGAGTCTATGGACATATTACACTTCTTTCTTAATTAACAATTCCTAGACAAAAAGGAGGTGCAAAACAAAGTTGCCTTTTTGGAAATACGACATTCAACTAAGTAGCACCAAACACTGTAGAGTGGTAAGCCAGCCAAACCCAGTGTTCAGCTTTCCAGATACTCCTCACTGCCTGAAGGGAAGGAGGACTCCCCACTACCCATTTTAAAATGTCTCAGTTTGCTGTTTTCTATATAGAAACTACAATTAACAATTATCTCACTGATAACAGATTGTAAGTACTACCTTTTTATGCATTGCTATTTTTGAGTTTCAGCGTAATTCCTACTTCGCTCCAACACGGGTGAGGTGGAGCTGAGGAGATTCCTGAGCCACCAGGCATGACGATGCACTACTTGAATAACCATCTGACATTCCCACTCACTATGGACGAGCGAATTTAGCAACAACAGCTTCCGTGACCTCTCACACATATGCCCTAACTATTTTAGTCTGCAAAGTTATAGCACAATCTAAAGACTCAACTTTCCCAGAGAGAAATCTGCCTCCTGTCTCAGCGTGGATTCCCAGCACTTCTGTATCAATTCTAAGATGGGGGCTGCACTCTAAAGGTGATTCACTGGAATGTGCCATTGGAAACTAGGATGTAGATGCCCACTCTCTGAGAGCTTCAGCTGGAAGTGCTGCTGCTGATCCTGAGCCTCTGTGGTACTTGCAACACTAAGTGAACTGGTACACATACAAGCAGATGAATAAAGTGTAACATTAGCCTTTTTAAGTTAACTATACCACTGTGCCTATCCCCTCTACCCCAAACACATTTCACCGCACTATTTGGTTGGATTGTCCCATGGTCCAGTATTTTCCCTGTGACAATGTATTTATTTTATTTTTCTAATACCTGCAAAAATACCCGGTTTGAACTTTAATTCCTTCCCTCTTAAAACCCTTTTTCAGCTCTTGCCCTGCCCTACTCCTCTCCACCATTATGAATTCATTTTGAGGGGAAAATAGAGTATCAACAACTCCTCTTTCAAAACTACAAATAAAGACTTTCTGAGGGACACAGAGGATCTCTTGGCAAAGTTGCACTCAGGTTCAGTTTGAAGGAAGATCTTTTCACCAGGTTTCAGGCCACATATGTACTTACCTTCCGAAGTCGCAGAGTTTTAGAACAGCTGTATCAGGGTCCAGCAAGAGGTTCTGTGGTTTTATATCCCGGTGGCAGATCCCAAAGGAATGGATATAGGCTAAACTCCGGAACAGCTGATACATGTACAACTGGAACACAGAAACACCAGTCAAAACAGGGTAAACAATTAGTTTAGCACAAACTCTTACTAGAAGAGAAACAAAGTCACTCAAGAAAGACCCTACTGGATGCATATTAGTGCCATTAAGATGGGCAATGTGTTCCCTTTGCCACATACCCACACATGTGGTTCCAAATTGTGCATCTGTCCTTTTAAAAATTAGCAACACATCAAAAAAAATTGTGCCATTTTCCCAACAATTATAAATAATGGCAGTCATAAAAAACATACATAAAAGTGTTTCAGCTTGCTTTATATATCAGCCTCTTCATAGAAATGAAGTATTCCAGGTTATTAAAACACCTGAAACCAAACGACTAAAAACCCAACCCGAAATCCAAAAGAAAACCCTTCAGTTGATGAAGTTATATTAAATGTTGCCCAAAGACAAGGGTAGTGTCTCAGCCTGTCACTGAAATAAATCTGCTAGTGTCTCTTGCTGAGGGGACAGAGTCATTTTAATTTCAAATCTCTGGACAAAAAGAGCAGGCAAATAAAACCAGCTGTTCAGAATAATTTTATTCAAGGCACAACAAAAAAGTTTGCTGAGGGAGAGTTTTCTCGGCCTCTTTCCAAGGCTGGTTAACTCCATAGCAAGAAAGACTACAGCAAGGAGAGATGTTATGAAGCCAAAAACTTCACAGGACAAGGTAACAGGGCAAGAGGAGGATGTCCAGCTGCTGGAGCTACACACTTTCAGTTATGGATAATAAAGAGCTGCTGGATAAAATTAGGGCTGTATAGCATATACAGTCACAAAGGCATGGAAAGCCCTGTTTAAAAGGTTAACAAGAAGCTGACAGGTTATTTGTTATTTTTGCTGTATCCCCCACAAGGTTCTGCTTAAAATTAATCTACAGGCAGACTATTCCACCAGAGATGCACCTCCATGTCTTCCTTTTCTAAGCACAGTCTCCACAGTCCACCTTTAACTGTCTATAAACCCAGGTGCAATTACTAGATATTGGTATCAGGTCATGTTTGCCTCACTTGCACCACTATCTTTGTCCTCACACTTTCTCTCCCCTAGGAGCAGGAAGAGAATGCCTTGAATTTTGGCTTTAGGTCTCTGAGTTTTCGTATTTGTTTCTGAAAACCACAACTCTGCACAAAGAAAAGCAAACAAGCATGTTTTCCAAATTGCCTGTTCTAGACATGTTAAGTATGCATTGTGCAACTGTATTGCAACATACTGCAAGAGACTGCTTTGACTTGACGGGTCAAGTCAACACATGAGGGATTTACAAAGTATGCCTTTCATCTCCACACAGCAAGCCCACAATTTCCAAGAATTCCTTACAGTATGTTAGAAATTGCAAATAAAAATTAACCAAAAGATTACTAGAACAGCTTCCCTGCAGTTTTCCTTAACAGTTTCTTTGTTGCTCAGGAAAGAGCAGCTCTCTGCCTGCCTAGGTATAACAAACAGGTATGATCTGACCTTTGTGCATCCAAGATGTCAGGAAGATTGCAAAAGCCTTAATGATGTTGAGGTAACATGATCTTTTTAAATACAGGATTGTGTGCAAGGCTTGCCTTGCCAGAAAAATAAGAGCAGCCTTTCAGGCTACCTGGAAGGGGAAGTCCCAAGCACCCAGCAAGATGAAAGAGTTAAAGCAGAATTTTCTCTCCAAGCATAAGAAAAATTTTTCTCAAGTTCCCACAATGAAGAACAAATAGGGCAGGAATACCGACAAAAGATATATAATCGATTTATCAAAAGCTAAGCTAGCAGATTTTTGGGAGCACATAACCTGAAGACGTGCTGTTCCACCAACAGACCAAACAGAATGACCTTGCAGTAGAAATTGTTGCTGCTGGATGATAAAATTCTGTGCTTTCTTGAAAAACAGGCACCAGTGCTGGCTATTGCAGAGACATGCCATGTAAAATTTATGCACATAGTTATGGCACAAAGCTTCGTTATTGAAATAATTGCTATTTGTAGCTTTCACCTTGGTAGCTTTCATCTTCTTTCAACCCAATTAAAGCTTTTTCTTAAACCAACCCTCACATTAAGCATTACACTTCTAAAAGAGGAGTCTGGAGAAATCAATTTGGATCAGGAAAATTTGTTGCTAATTTCCATTTAATATTACCATTTAATAAAAAGTTAATGCCATGTGAAAAGATCACCATTCACTAGTGTGTAGATTGTGGTCACTGCAATATATGAAATGCAACTACATGACCCGGATGGGTCCCACATTTGACAGCAAAGGAGAAATTTTACTTATTTTGGCCACTGATGCAAACAACTCAAGTAAGGCTTTGAAGCCACAATGCACATACAAGCATCTTACCCCATATTGGTCTTGAAGACAAGAGCCAGTGAGGTCCAAATGGGGACAAAAATATGCCTTTCATGCCCACAACAAAAGCACATGAACTCTCACTCATATGCCAGGAAAAGGGGAAGATAACAGATAAGAGAACATCTTCCTGACATCCTCTTTCAGTTCATGACCTTTATTCTATTATGTCTTCATCATCTCAGGAAACCGAAAGCTGCTAATCTGGTTGGTGTCAGCCTCTGTCTAAGCTGCTTCAAAAACAGAGCACTCCCCCCACAGTCAGTCTCCCCCTCTCATCCCAAGATTTCTGCAAAACCAGAAATCTGGAGTGCTTGTTTAAGCCTATCAATCCTCTATTCCTCCTTAGCCATAACAACTAATAATTACTTTTTTTTCCTTGCCTCAAGATTTCTGTGCTTCTAAAAATTTGAGAAAACTTCCTATGTCAGATAAGAGTGTCCACAGAGTCTATTTCTGTAATAGCCTTCTTCACCTAGACACATACACCAGTTACCTACCTTGACATAAATCATAGGGAGTGTCTGTTTGGCCCGACTATAATGTCTGGCAACTCTGTATACTGTTTCAGGAACATAGTCCAGCACCAAGTTGAGGTACACCTCGTCTTTCTGAAAGAGAACAGAGAAGCAAAACAAAATTAGCAATAGATTTGATGCATGAAGCACAATTAAAGCATTCAGAGAAACCTAAAAGAGGAGAAAGCTGTGTAGGTTGTAAGCCCCATCTTTAGTGGGAGTGTGAACTGCTGCCAAACTATTTTGGCTTTGCACTTGTTCATTAATACTTTCGTCAAACTTAGGTTTAAGGTCACATTAATTAAAACACAACACAAGGCACTTTCTGATTATATGGGGACAAGGATATAACTGCCTTATCCAGTCAATATTTTCATTAGGAGATATTTCAAGGTAACATCTGCATAATCATTTAAAGCAGCGTATTAACTCATTAGTCCCTTTCCTGCCAAAACCCAAGAAATGTGAATTTAGAAGTCCCAAACTCAGTCCCATATAACAACACATCAAAAAAAGTTCAAACAACCTACATCTTTTAGAAATGTTACTTTGATCTTACTGAATTACCAACTATTAAGAGATTAATAATGCATAGTAACCCTTTGTAGACAGAGTCAGTGTTAACACTTGTAACCATTCTGTTTGCATGTATTTAGATGGCCCAGTTATCTCTGACTTAAACATATGAACTTACACATGGCAAAACAGGACAAGCCAAAAATGAAGTCTCAAGTGCAATTTTTAATATCTAAAATCAGGTTAGAGGTTCATGTGAACATAACACAGAGAAACAACAAAAGTAGCTTTTTAATAGGGTACTTTGTTACATTATAAAGTACCTTATTATACACTAGTAAAGGAAAGAAGGAACAAAAAGGACTTAAATGACAAAGTGCTATAATCATACAGTGTCTAACTACAGAACAGCAAATTTTCTCCAGTAAAACAGGTCTTAAAGAGACTTTAGATATTTTAATGCAGTCTTCTGTGCAAATCCTATCAGGACTGTGAATACATTTAATGTTGGGGGTGGGTATAATTAACTATATCAACTTCAAAAATTATTTTTGAAGCTAGATGAGTTATCCAGAAGTAACCTCTCCTGTGCTTGCTGTATTATCAGCTAGAACTTTTCTATAAAGAAAGACAATACATAGAGACTTTATGTGGATGGAAACAGCACGGAACTCTCAGGTCTTCCACTGGCTAGGTATCTTAACATCCAAAACCAAACCTCATTTAGCTACAGCAATTTAATAATACTACTATGACTTAACACATCACTTCAGGCATGGAGTGAAGTGTGTTGCTCTCACAGTGCTCTGCTTTCCTTACCTCTGTCCTGCCACAGCAAAGGGCAGCAGTCTTCAGGGAGTTACGGAATGGTACATGGTAGCCCACAGAGAAATACACACCTCGAATACACAATGTGCAGAGAACTACTGGGTTTGTGTGTTGTTCAAGACCCAGAATTGAAGATCTCTGTTCACCACTATTTGACAATAAAGACTTGTATTTTCAGGACATTTTAATAGCTCTTACCAATACCTTCTAATAGGCCGAGTCACCTTTCAAGGCCCTGCCTTTATCACTCCTCCCCACAAAAAGATGCTATTTTTAAATATCATTGCTTAAACAACGGTGGTAATAGCACCAGCACTAAGCAGATGTCAATACACTAACTTGTATCTGGTCTTATGGTACTCCTGGAGTACAGACAAGGAGCAGCAGACTCCAAAACCCTGCCTACACTGGTGCATCCCAGGGCCATCCCAGGAACTGCAAACAATGTGAAGGCATCTTAAGATCAGGCTGAAGAACAAACTTCTTGAAATGGATGAGAAGGGACAACTACCACCAGTACAGAGGAAATACCAGATGGCTCTGCAACTCCCCAGATGTGCAAATGTACACAAGACAAAAAAAAAGTACTTGTATTTTAGCACTTTCCCTTCTGCAACAAGAAA